AGATAAGTAGATAAACTAACTTCCCAGGGAGTATAGATATTTCCCATTTTCTGTGATACAAATTCCCGTTTTCTATGATAATCTACTTCGCAAAATTAGTAATATTTCAAAAATCGATAGTACTTCCCGAAAATGATAATCTACTTCTCAGTAGATACTGATTTTCGGGGAAAGTAGATAACCAACTTTCTGAAAGCAGATATTTCATTTTCTGTGATACAAATTCTGTTTCTATGATAATCTACTTCGCAAAAATTAGTAATATTTCCCAAAAAGTCGACAATTTACTTCCCGAAATGTCGATAATCTACTTTCCTTAGTAGATAAATCTACTGGAAAGTAGATAACCGTCTTCCCGGAAAGTAGATATTTCCATTTTCTATGATAAATTTCGTTTTCTGTGATAAGTAGATAACCAATCTTCCTAGGGAGTAGATATTTCCTCATTTCTTTCTGTGATACAAATTTCATAGTTTTATGATAATCTACTTTCCCTGTGCAAAATTAGGTAATATTTCAAAAAATCGATAATATACTTCCTGAAAAGTCGATAATCTACTTCTGGGTAGATATGTTCCACTTTTCGGGAAAGTGGTGATAACCAACTTTCCTGAAAGTAGATATTTCATTTTCTGTGATACAAATTTCTGTTTCTATGATAATCTACTTCGCAAAATTAGGTAATATTTCCAAAAGTCGACAATTTACTTCCCTGAAAATGTCGCATAATTCACTTCTGAAAGTAGATAGATCTTACTTTTCGGGGAAATAGATAACCAACTCTTCCCGGAAAGTAAGATATTTCCCCATTTATGATACAAATTTCCGTTTTCTGTGATAAGTAGATAAATCAACTCTTCTAGGAGTAGATATTTCCCATTTTCGTGATACAAATTTCGTTTTCTATGATAATTTACTGCAAAATTAGGTATTGATTTCCCAAAAAATCGATAATATATTTCGAAAAGTCGATAATCTACTTTCCTGGGGTGAGGTTTACTTTTCGTAGATAACCAACTTTCCCGGAAAGTAGATATTTCCTATTTTCAGATACAAATTTCGTTTATGATAACTACTGCAAAATTAGGTAATATTTCCCAAAAAGTCGACACCCATTTCCTGAAATGTCGATAATCTACTTTCCGAAAGCAGATAATCTACTTTTCGTGAAAGTAGATAACCAACTTTCCCGGAAAGTAGATATTTCTATTTTCTATGCGATACAAATTTCCTCGTTTTGTGAGATAAGTAGATAACCAACTTTCCCAGAAAGTAGATATTTCCCATTTTCTGTGATACAAATTTCCCGTTTTCTATGTTAATCTACTTCGCAAAATTAGGTAATATTTCCCAAAAAGTCGACAATTTACTTCCCCTAAAAGTCGATAATCTACTTTCCCGAAAAGTAGATAATCTACTTTTCGGGAAAGTAGATAACTAACTTTCCCGGAAAGTAGATATTTCCCATTTTCTATGATACAAATTTCCCGTTTTCTGTGATAAGTAGATAACCAACTTTCCCAGGGGAGTAGATATTTCCCATTTTCTGTGATACAAATTTCCCGTTTTCTATGATAATCTACTTCGCAAAATTAGGTAATATTTCCCAAAAAAATCGATAATATACTTCCCGAAAAGTCGATAATCTACTTTCCCAAAAAGTAGATAATCTACTTTTCGGGAAAGTAGATAACCAACTTTCCCGGAAAGTAGATATTTCCCATTTTCTGTGATACAAATTTCCCGTTTTCTATGATAATCTACTTCGCAAAATTAGGTAATATTTCCCAAAAAGTCGACAATTTACTTCCCCGAAATGTCGATAATCTACTTTCCCGAAAAGTAGATAATCTACTTTTCGGGAAAGTAGATAACCAACTTTCCCGGAAAGTAGATATTTCCCATTTTCTATGATACAAATTTCCCGTTTTCTGTGATAAGTAGATAACCAACTTTCCCAGGGGAGTAGATATTTCCCATTTTCTGTAATACAAATTTCCCGTTTTCTATGATAATCTACTTCGCAAAATTAGGTAATATTTCCCAAAAAAATCGATAATATACTTCCCGAAAAGTCGATAATCTACTTTCCCAAAAAGTAGATAATCTACTAGAAAGTAGATAACCAAATTCCTGAAAGTAGATATTTCATTTCTGTGATAAATTTCCTCTGTTTATGATAATTCATCGCAAAAATTAGTAATATTTCCCAAAAGTCGACACTTACTTCCCGAAATATTTTGATATCTACTTTCCCGAAAAGTGGATAATCTACTTTTTTCGGAAAGTAGATAACCAACTTTCCCGGAAAGTAGATATTTCCCATTTTCTATGATACAAATTCTCCTGTTTTCTGTGATAAGAGATAACCAACTTCCCAGGAGCAGATATTTCCATTTTGCAGATACAAATTTCCCGTTTCTATGATAATCTACTTTCGCAAAAATTAGGTAATATTTCCCAAAAATCGATAATATACTTCCCGAAAAGTCGATAATCTACTTTCCCAAAAAGTAGATAATCTACTTTTCGGGAAAGTAGATAACCAACTTTCCCGGAAAGTAGATATTTCCCATTTTCTGTGATACAAATTTCCCGTTTTCTATGATAATCTACTTCGCAAAATTAGGTAATATTTCCCAAAAAGTCGACAATTTACTTCCCCGAAATGTCGATAATCTACTTTCCCGAAAAGTAGATAATCTACTTTTCGGGAAAGTAGATAACCAACTTTCCCGGAAAGTAGATATTTCCCATTTTCTATGATACAAATTTCCCGTTTTCTGTGATAAGTAGATAACCAACTTTCCCAGGGAGTAGATATTTCCCATTTTCTGTGATACAAATTTCCCGTTTTCTATGATAATCTACTTCGCAAAATTAGGTAATATTTCCCAAAAAAATCGATAATATACTTCCCGAAAAGTCGATAATCTACTTTCCCAAAAAGTAGATAATCTACTTTCCCAAAAAGTAGATAATCTACTTTTCGGGAAAGTAGATAACCAACTTTCCCGGAAAGTAGATATTTCCCATTTTCTGTGATACAAATTTCCCGTTTTCTATGATAATCTACTTCGCAAAATTAGGTAATATTTCCCAAAAAAATCGATAATATACTTCCCGAAAAGTCGATAATCTACTTTCCCAAAAAGTAGATAATCTACTTTTCGGGAAAGTAGATAACCAACTTTCCCGGAAAGTAGATATTTCCTATTTTCTGTGATACAAATTTCCCGTTTTCAGATAAGTAGATAAATCAACTTTCCTAGGAGTAGATATTTCCCATTTTCTGTGATACAAATTTCCTTAAGCTTAAGTGATAATTCATTTCGCAAAATTAGAAAATATTTCCCAAAAATCGATAATCTGCTTCCCTAGGAAATGATAATCTACTTTACCGAAAGTAGATAATCTCTGGAAAAGTAGATAACCAACTTTCCCGGAAAGTAGATATTTCCCATTTTCTATGATACAAATTTCCTGTTTCTATGATAATCTACTTCTAAAAATTAGGTGTTATTTCCCAAAGTCGACAATTTACTCGAAATGTCGATAATTCATTTCCCGGTAGATATCTACTAGAAAGTAGATAACCAACTTTCCCGGAAAGTAGATATTTCCCATTTTCTATGATACAAATTTCCTGTTTTCAAGATAAGCAGATACCAACTTTCCCAGGAGTAGATATTCCCCATTTTCTGTGATACAAATTTCCCGTTTCTATGATAATCTACTTGCAAATTAGGTAATATTTCCCAAAAAATCGATAATAGAGATCGAAAGTCGATAATTCATTTTCCAAAAGCAGATAATCTACTTTCGGTGAGATAACCAACTTTCCCGGAAAGTAGATATTTCCCCATTTTCTGTGATACAAATTTCCCGTTTTCTATGATAATCTACTTCGCAAAATTAGGCACATTTCTAAAGTCGACACCCATTTCCTCGAAATGTCGATAATCTACTTTCCCGAGGGTAGATAATCTGGGCTTTTCGGGAAAGTAGGATAACCAACTTTCCTGAAAGTAGATATTTCCTATTTTCTATGATACAAATTTCCCGTTTTCTGTGATAAGTAGATAAACCAACTTTCCCAGGAGTAGATATTTCCATTTTCTGTGATACAAATTTCCCGTTTTCTATGATAATCTACTTGCAAAATTAGTAATATTTCCTGCATCGATAATGATACTCCTTTTCTTTAGAAAAAAAGTCGATACAATCTACTTTCCCAAAAGTAGATATCTACTTTCGAAAGTAGATAACCAACTTTCCCGAGCAGATATATTTCCCATTTTCTGTGATACAAATTTCCCGTTTTCTATGATAATCTACTTCGCAAAATTAGGTAATATTTCCCCAAAGTCGACACCGCCTGAAATGTCGATAATCTACTTTCCTTAGTAGATATCTACTTCGGGAAAGTAGGATAACCAACTTTCCCGGAAAGTAGATACTTCCATTTTCTATGATACAAATTTCCTCGGGGTTTTCTGTGAGATAAGTAGATAAATTAACTTTCCTAGAGTAGATATTTCCTCATTTTCAGATACAATTTCCTGTTTTCTATGATTAATCTACTGCAAAATTATAATATTTCCCAAAAATCGATAATGCTTCGAAAAGTCGATAATCACTTTACCAGTAGATAATCTACTTTTCGAATAGATAACCAACTTTCGGAAAGTAGATATTTCCATTTCATTACAAATTTCCCGTTTTCTATGATAATCTACTTCGCAAAAGGTAATATTTCCCCAAAAGTCGATAATCTGCTTCCCGAAGTCGATAATCCTACTTTACCGAAAATAGATAATCTACTTTTCGGAAAGTAGATAACCAACTTTCCCGAGTAGATATTTCCCATTTTCTATGATATAAAATTCCTTTTCTATGATAAGTAGATACAACTTTCAGAAAGTAGATATTTCCCATTTTGTGTTATACAAATTTCCCGTTTTCTATGATAATCTACTTCACAAAAATTAATATTTCAGGGGCCTGCACAGGTCAACAGTCACCCCAGGGGTTCTCCTTGAGCACAGCGCCCCCAGGGGCCCTCTCAAGCAGTGGGGCCCCAGGATCCTCCAGGGTGGGTTGCGCGCCCAGGTGCAACCCAAGGATAGCGGCGACCCCAGGGGCCCTGTCGGGGCGGTGGCACCTGCAAGAGCCCTCCTAGGGGCGGTGGCGACCACAGGGGACCTCCCAGGGTGGTGGTCCTTCGAGAGACCCTGCCAGGGGCAGTGGGGCCCCAGAGGCAGTGGCGCCCCCAGGGAACCACCCAGGGCAGTGACGCCCAGGGCCCTGGCAGGTGCGGTGACGACCCCAGGGGCCTTTCCATGAGCATTGGGCCCTTGGGGTTCAAGGGACCAGCAGCGCCCCAGGGCTCTCCGTAGGGGAAGCGACGCCTCCAGGGCTCTCCTTAGGGTCAGTGGAGCCCCAAGGGCCTCCAACTCTCTGCCTCCACACCATCCACCTCTATGCCTCCACATCCACACCCTCCTCCCTCCAACTGCACATCCCTACCCCCCACCTCCTCCACGCCCTCTAACTGCTCATCCTTCATCTCTACAACTTCCAATTCCTCCTCTACTTCCAACTCCTCTACACCCCACCTCCTGACCTTCACCTTTTCCTCCTTCCACTGCACATCCTCACTCTACCCTCCAACTCCACACCTTCCACCAGGGTATCGGCTCACCCAGTGGCTCTCCTTTACGGACCGGTGCCTCCAGGGGCTTTCCAGGAGCGGTGGCGCCAGGGGACCTCCTAGTGGCGGTGGCGCCTCGAGAACCTTCCAGGGTGGTGGCGCCCCCAGGGCCTCTTCTTAGGGGCAACGGTGCCTCCAGGGGCTATCAGGGGGGTGGCACCCCAAGTGGCTCTCCCGGGGCAGTGGGGCCTGAGGACCTTCCAGGGCAGCGCGCTCCTAGGAGCCCTCAGGACAGCAGCGTCCCCAGTAGCGGTGGTGCCCCCAGGAGCCCTGGGGGTGGTGGTGCCCCCCAAGGGCCCTGCAGGGGCGGTGGCCCCACAGGGACCTTCTAGGCAGTAGGTGCTAACAGAGCCCGCCCATGTATATAGATAGATAGAATTTAATTGACCACAAAATACTTGCTTTATGAATATAAACAATATACATTAGGGTCCATGATTAAAATCTTGAACAGTAAAACAATAAATTAAAATACAGTTAACTAACTACTGTACATACGAATACAAATAACTCAGACGTTTCACCAATAAAACTCAATTAAATATAACAATGAGTTAATGAAAAAAAAGACTAAAATATACAACTGAAATCGTTGTACATACACATGATACGAGGAAAACTATTACGTAAGTTCATTTATACTTAAACCTACAAGGCAAATATAGAATGGATGGCACTGCATACAACATCATGGCCAGGGGCGTTGGCGCACCAGGCCCTGGCATGAGTGGTGGCGCCCTCAGGGGCCATCCGAGGGCCAACAGCGCCTCCAGAGCCTCTTCATGGGCAGCTCCGCCCACAGGACTCTCCTTAGGCAGAGACGCAACAGGGGCCCTTCCAGAGGGAGTGGCGCCAAGGCCTTTCAGGGGCGGTGACGCCCCAGGAACCTCCAGGGGCAGTGGCGCTCAAGAGGGCCCTCCGAGAGGGGCCCCAGAGAAATATCAGGGATGGTGGTACCAGGGGCACGTCAAGTCGTGGTGCAGCAGGGCCCTACCAGGGACGGTGGTGGCCTAGGGACCCACCTGGGGGCAGCGACTCCCTAAGGGCCCCCCCAGAGGCAGTAGCGACCCAAGGGTCCTGTCGGCGCCTCCAAGGGCCATCGGGGACAACGACCCTTCAGGGGCCCTGTCAGAGGTGGTGGTGCTCCCAGGGAACCTCTGGGGCAACGGCGCCTCAGGGCTTCCCCAGGGGCTGCTACGCTGGGAGCTCTCCTTGGAGCAGAGACGTCCCCAGGGACCCTCCCAAGGCGGTGGTGCCACCCAGGGGCCTTTCCAGGAGGATACAAATCCACAATGGCAGCAGTGACATCAGGGACTCCAGGGCTCTCCCAGAGTGGATGGCACCCCAGGGCTTTCCATGGGCAGTAGCACCACCAGGGAACCTGGGGAGGTGGTACCCCCAGGGGCACTGCCAAGGGTCTCATGCCCCCCCGAGGGGCAACAAGGGGCCCGCTTTCTTAGGGGCAGCTACGTCCACAGAAACTCTCTAAGGGCAAAAACCAAGGGCCCTCCCAGAGGTGTGGCGCCTCCAGGAGCCTTCCAGGGCAGTGGCGCCCCAGGGAACCTCAGGACGGTGATCCCCCAGCAGCCATTCCAGGAAATAGACCTCAGGGACCCTACCAGGTGTCGGTGCCCACCGGGGACCTCCCAGGGGCGGTGGTGCTAAGGGCTCACCTTAGCAACGCCCCATGGGCCCTCTCAGAGACGATGGCGCCTGTCCCGACGCCCCAGGGCCCTCCCAAAACCGGTGGCGCTGGCAGGTGTCCCTGCCAGGTGGGGTGGAACCTCAGGGGCCACCCAAAGACAGCGAGCCCCAGCAGCACTGCCAGGTAATGGCGCCTCCAGGGGCCCTCCTCGAGACAGTGGCAACAGGGGACCTCCCAGGGATGGTGGTCCTTCAACGAACCTGCCGGGGCGATGGCACCCCAGGGGCCTTCCCAGAGGCAGTGGCGACCCCAGGGGCCTTCAGGGGTGATGCGCCCAAGGGCATCAGTGCCGTCAGGGACTTACATGGGACCTCCAAGAGGTGTGGCACCTCCAGGGATCTTTCCCGGGGTGGTGCACCAGGAACCTCACCCAGGGACGGTGGTAGGGTCCTTGCCAGATGTGCTGGCGCCCCCCGTAGAGCAGCAGCCCCAGGGCTTTCCTTAGGGACAGCTACGCCCACAAGAAACTCTCCATAGAGGCAAAACGCTCTCAGGGGCCCTCCCAGAGGGGTGGCGCCTCAGGGCCTTTCCAGGGTCGGGGCGCCCCCAGGGACTTCCCAGGGTCAGTGGTGCCCCTAGGGGCTCCTATGAGGCAGCAGAGCCTCCAGGGTCCCTCTCAGAGACGGTGGCGCCCACAGTCCCTCTCAGGTTCGGTGGCGCATCTGGGCCCTCCCAGGGACAGCAGCGACCCCAGGGGATCTCCTAGGGATGGTGGTGGGCCCAGGCCCGTCCAGAGATGGTGGTGCCGGCAGGGCCCTGCCAAGGCAGTGGTGGCTCAAGGGGCACCTGGGTTAGCACCGAGGCCTCCAAGCGGTGGCGCAGGCTGTCTCCTGCCAGGTGGGGTGGAGCCTCATGGGCCCTCCCCTAGGTGCAGTGGCGCCAACAGGGGACCTCGAGGGCCGGCCGGTGGTCCTTCAGCGACCCTGCCAGGGGCTGTGCTCCCCGGGGAACCTCCTGGGGGCGGTGGTAACAAGGAGCCCTGCCAAGGATGCTGGCGCCCCCAGGGCCTTTCATGGGGCAGCTACGCCTACAGGTTATCATTAGGGCAAATCATTCCCAGGGCCCTTCCAGAGGGTGGCGCCTCAGGGGCCTTCCAGGGGTTGTGCGCCCCAGGAACCTCTCAGGGCAGTGATGAACTCAGCGGCCATTCCAGGAATGGAACCTCCAGGGGCCCTACCAGGGTCGAGGGCGCCCCAAGGGACCTCCCAGGACGGTGGTGCCCCTAGGGGTGTACCTTGGGGCACAAGCGACCCCAGGGCCCTCTCAGAGACGGTGGCGCCCGCAGTGCCCTCTCAGGATCGGTGGCGCATTTACAGGCCATCCAGGACAAACGGCGACACCAAGGGATCTCCTAGGGATGGTGGTGCTAGGGCCTGCCAAAAGCGGTGGTGGCCCTAGAGGATCACTGGGGTCCACGATGACCCCAGGGGCCCTCCCAAGAGCCCTCACATGGGCAGTAGGGTCCCCAGGGGCCATCCCATAGACAGCGGTGCCCCAAGGATCCTTCCAGTGCAGGTGGCCCAGGGGCCCTGTCAAAGTGGTGGGACCTCAAAGGGCAACGGCCCCCCAGGTGACCTCTACAGGAACCTGGCGCCCATCAGGGCCTTCTTAGGGGTATGGACGCCCCAGGAAACCTCCCAGGGCGGTGGTGCCAGGGCCCCTCTCAAAGGCGGTGGCCTACAGGGTCCCTGCCAGGGGGTGGCACCCCTAGAGGCGGTAGCGCTTGCAGGCTAAATCACACCTTGGAAACCTATAGTTGATGAGTAATTAGCATTGAAAAATGTCAGTAAAATCTTTCAAGGATCATTTTGGCCACTAATTACTCTGCAATCGAATCGTGGACCACATATTCATAATCAGCACGCTCAGAGTACCCATACTGTGATTTTCAGCAAAATCTAATTTTGGCCTAAAACCACCAAAAATGTAAGTCTTACCTTACAAAATTTTGTGGAAATAAACTTTTTCTTAAAATTGAAATTTAGGGGTTTAACTAATTAAGTACTTTCAGAATAACACACAAACCCTAGATTACCTTGGAAACCGTATAGTTGATGAGTAATTAGCATTGGAAAATGTCAGTAAAAATCTTTCAAGGGTCATGTGGCCACTAATTACTCTGCAATCGAATCCCGGAGATAGCGGAGCCCCAGGAGCACTGCCAGGGTGGTGGCACCTCAGGGCCCTCAGGTATCGTGGCGCCCAGGGACCTCAGGGCAGTGATCCTCCTCAGAACCTGCCAGGGCAGTGCTCCAGAGGCCCTCCCAGAGGCATTGGCGACCTGCAGGACCTTCCTGGTGATGGCCCCAAGAGCCAGCGGTGCTGTCGGGACTTCCCACGGGCCTTCCCAGAGGGGTGGCGCCAGGGCCTCCCAGGGGCGGTGGCTCCCCAGGAACCTCCCAGAGGCGGTGGTGCACTCAGAGCCTGAGGCTTTGGCGCCTGAAGGACCTTGCTGGGAGTGGTGGCGCCAGGGGCCCTCCGGGGTCAACAGCGCCCCCAGTGCTATTCCTTAGGGGAAGATACGCCCAGGAACTCTTAGAACAGCAGCGCCCCAGGGATCTCCAGGGATGGCGGACACCCCAGGGCCCGTCCAGCGGTGGTTGTGTCTGCACGGGCGCTGCTAGGGAGGTGGTGGCCCCAGGAACAGCGCCCCAAAGGCCCTTCCAGGGGCGGTGGCGACCCAGGGCCCTGTCAGGAGTGGTTGACCTCCCAGGGTAACGGCGCCCCTAGGGGACCTCCACAGGGCAACAGCGCCCAGGGCCTCTTCTTAGAGGAAGAGACGCCCCAGGGAACCTCCTAGGGCGGTGGTACCCCAGAGGACATTCCAGGGCGGTGGTGTCTCTGGGGCCCCGCACATGGGCAGCAGCACCCCAGGGCCCTCCCAAGGGGTGGCGCCCACAGGGTCCTGCCAGGAGGATGGCCCTGGGGCAGTAGGCCTCCCAGGGGCCTTCCCAGGAGCGGTGGCGCCCACAGGGAACCTCCAGGGGCGGTGGTTCTCCAGGGACCTTGTCAGGGGCAGTGGCACCCCAAGGGGCCCTCCCAGTGGCAGTGGCGCCCCCAAACAGCGGTGCCCCAGGGACTTCCCAGGGCAGTGGTACCCCAGAGGCCCTCCCAGGGCGGCGGCGTTTCTAGGATCACTTGTAGGGACAGCGGCGCCCCCAGGGAATCTCCCAGGGAATGGTGCGCGCTCAGGGGCTCGTCCAAAGATGGTGGTGCCCCCAGGACCCTGCAGGGGCGGTGGTGGACCCAGGAGCCTGCACAGGGTAACAGAGCCCAGGGGCTCACTTTGGGAACAAAGCGGTGCCATCAAGGGACTTACAGTGCAGGGGTGGTGTGGAGTAGGAGGAGAGTGGAAGGATGTGCAGTCCAGGAGTGGGAGGGCGTGGAGGTGGATGGTGTGGGGGAGAGAGACGGGGGGCATGGGCGTAGGGGTTGGGAGGGTGCGGAAGGCAGGGTGTGTTGGTGGAGGAGTGTAGTTGGAGGAGGAGGTGTGGAGGTGGAGGGTGTGCAGGCAGGAGAGGTGTGGAGGTGGATGGGAGATATGGTGGTGGAGGGCATGGAGGTGGGGGTGTGGAGGTGGATGAGGGTGTAGAATGTGGAGGTGTGGAGGACAAAGGCGTGGAGGTGGATGGTGGAAAGGCGGTGGGCGGAGAGAGATGAAGGCAGTGTGTGGACGGGAAGGTGCGGAGGTGGAGGGAGGAAGGGTTGCAAAGTGTGAAGGTGGAGCAGGTATTGAATGGTGAGAGGTGTAGGGTGTAGAGACGGAGGGCATGAAAGTGGAGGCAGTGGAGGGTACGAGGTGAGGGCGTGGGTTGAAAGGTGTAAAGGTTGGGTGGTGTAGAGCAAGACAAACTGCTATCTGTAATAAAAATATATAATATAATGTTTATATAATGTACGAATTATGTTCATAGTGTAGAGTTACCTCCTCTCAGTGACAGAACCATGGAAGTACGGATGGGAATACACAGCATTTACGTTGTGCCTGCCTGATGCTGCGTCCGCCTGATGCTGTGCCGCCTGATGCTGTGCCGCCTGATGCTGTGCCGCCTATAATACGGTTGAATAAAACAGACACTGGCTGCATAGAGTATTATATTGTCAATATTGGAACAGGAGACCGGCATCCTCAACCCCCATTCTCCTTAACAGCAAACTCCCAACAGGTATCACAACTTTTGGAGAATGATTTACAAGTGAACCCCCACAAAAATAGATACCAGGGGTACTTAAAAACTAGTATGAAGTAACACCTTGGCAGCCAGTCTGAAATACTCCAATAATACTTCTAGTTAATCCTAAAATTATCACCACATGAGTGAGTTAAAACTGGTACATCTACAGCCATCAGATTATACTCTGATCCCCATTTGTATCAACGACGGTGGGTGTATTCCTACAGGTGTCAGGAAGAAACTCACGACCAAAATCTTCAGACTAAACACAGCTCTGCATCAAAAACATTTACAATCATGAAAACGATTTTTCTACCAAAATCAGTAGAAGTACAGCTTCTTGGAGAGCCTACATCCTGTTAAGAACTAAATCAAACAACATTATAAATATATATATATATATATATATATATATATATATATATATATATATATATATATATATATATATATATATATATATATATATAAATAATCAAATAACCTCAAAAGGAGCGCAATTTGTTTAGCAAAGACAACCAACAACCAAAACACAGACACAAAGTCATATACTATCACTATTATAACTCTGCGTGTTTCGGATAACTTAAAATCAGTTGGTGGAAAGCGGTGTAAAGTGAATACTATGACCCGTCCCCAATATTGAGGTCCATACGAGGCACTCGAGGGTGGGAAATACGGCCAACGTGAGCCAACAGCAGTAGTGCCTGGCAGCCGGTCAGAGCAGTTGCACGGCCACTCCCGCCCCTCACCACGCACACTCCACACATTCTACATCATCTATCACCGAACAAGTTGAAAATACTAATGGCTGTTCTCTCTATAATGTACTCACTCTCGAAAGGAAACAGCAAGATTTAATTAAAAAAGGTTTGTACTCTTCAAAATCTACTAAAAATAAAACTTTGTGTGCAATATCAGACACCGTAAGCTGAACCACAGTGAACTGGATAACGGAAGATGAGACGAGGAGCAGGGTCAGTGTGAAATATCTGGTGTGTGGATGTAGGCCACTGCATGGGCCAGTGTCAGTGCTGTCGTGGTTCAGAGGGGGCACAGGTCAGGACCAGTGGCCTAGGTCTCAGATTCCCTAATGACCGCAAAAATGGCCGACTCGGGCTTTCCTTCTAGACTCGTGCCTGAAAGTGGTGATGATGACCCCAAATGTGAGCCTCGTAGTCGCCTAGTGTACACAGCAACTGATCATCAGGAAAGTACAGTCTCGTGAGTCTGTTGTTGTCAGACCAATGGTGACTGTGTTCCAGCTCAGGACCCTCTGGCGACGACCAGACTTTGACCTGACACTCCTTTTCTGATGACAACGACGAGTCTACGGAAGATGGGAGGGACGACCAGGGGTGAAACTCCTGCACCTCTAAGAGACATCAGAAGACAAAGAGAAAACGTCAGACTGGATTCAGGAGTGTTAGCAAGAGAGGGGCTCAATAAGCCCTGCAATTCCCGTGAAAGCAGGACTCAAGGCAGCGCTGGGGTCGTTCTCTCTCTCTCAAGCTGCAGCGGACTACCGAGTGTAGAGTCCTCAACTCTAGCTCCTGGGTGGGGTCACAGAGCCAAAAACATCGCCAACGCTCAGTTCCCTCAGACCTACCACGCATCGAACACGTCACCAGTTTCAACACCAAACTGCAACCATTTATGTAGATGATTGAGCAATCAGACACCTGGAACCAAGAACTAAAATTTAACTAGAAGACATCCCTGAACCGTGCTCTGTCACTCCTCAGCGTCAATAAACTTTACCACGTCCAGGAGGCACAGAAACGTTCGAAAATTCTCCAACAGCCTCGGCGACGTCACAACCTGGTACGGGGCATAAGGCGGTATGGCTATCGAGCAACCAACCAGAGCTGGACGCTTATCGCTACTACCCAACCTCCACAAGCCTCCATACCCCAACGACCCCCACCACCCAAGACTATTGAACTTACCTGTCAATTAAAAATACGTAAATACTTACCAACCTTTCTGTCGACTCCTTAATTAACCAGATGAACTAGTACTGCGTGTCCAGTTAACATTATGTGGCAAGACAACTTAGAGTAGAGTTGACTCTTTGTACCAACTATTTGATTCATCATTGCAACTCATGATACGTATATACAAAGTTAACACAGCAGTCTCTTGGTTACCACACGATGTGGCATATTAACGTACAGTGAAAATAGACAGCTGAAATGACGTCACACTGAAGTATTAAATAAGTCGTGATATCTCACATAAAGTTTGTTAAGTCATAATGAAACACCATCAATGTGTAAGGAAACAAAATAATGATATAGTACATAGAAATTTGTACACAACAGATAATATCACACCTTTGATAAAAACAGTTTATCTATAATGTATTGTTGGGATGGAATTGTAGAATTATTAACCTTGTTAGGCGCTTAAAGACCTTAATTGTTGAAGCGCAGTAAAACAACAACTGATAAATCAGTTAAAGCAATGAGAGAGACAGACGCTGGAGGAGGACTGTTCAGCAGGTGCTGAACTATGCCAAAGACCAAACCTATATGAGATCTAAGTCACCTTCACCCATCGCCCTGCTTACAAAAAAAAGGACAACAAATTTAAACAGGTGTCTTTATACCAAAATCC